AGGACTTTTTGGACCCTGGGTCACTAGCTTAAAGGGATTTAAAAGACGCTAATGACCCAGGGAGAAGAAGCTGTGTGCAGTTTAGGGACCATGATGGTTTTTGTGGAGAAGCATTTTCGCTCGGCCACTGTGTTGAGGGGTCTCTGCACACTGGAGACAATTATGTTTGAGGAAAACGGCAGGCGGAGAAAACATGATGAATATGGCATGTACGGTCTGGCTGGTGTTTGAAGGCCTCCAGTGTGCAGCGGCTCGGAAAAAGGACGACTGGAAATGAGAAGGAGGCTAGGAACGCAATGAGCGCAAAGTGTGGTGTGTGGGTGGCGGGGAAGTCAGAAATAAAATCCAGCATTCGCTCAGACAGAAATGGAATTGGGGAAGAAAGTGGTTTATCAAGAGGTGATGGCGTCCATTATATAAAGGCCGTTCACTGTCCGCTCAACTTGTTCCGTGGAGTGATGAGCGAGCGAGGCATAGTGGTTGGAGTCTTGGCCAATGGTTTGTCCCTCTTTCCCGACGCACCTTGACACCGTTCAAGCGTGGTCGACAGATAATTATCTCAGAATCCCCGGCGCTGGGCTCGCCATCTCCGGTGAAATCATTCGTGCCGTATGGAGGGGCCATCCCTGCGCTGGCACGTTGATTCGTGTTGGGCGCACTCTCAGGCACCTGTGGATGGATTGGCACTCGTCCGCCAAAATGTCACCCGCGAGCACGCCCGATCTGACGAGTCTGTTCCCCTCCTCCGCCGGTTCATTTCGGCCGCTAGCACGTATACTCCCAAAATAATCAGAAGTTAAACAAAGGCTGAAGAAGTTTGCACACGGGGCCACGGCATGAGCCAAAATTGTTTTATAATTTTTTTCAATTGTTATATCCGTGTCGCATTACCGTGTCTTCCTATCATGCATGTTCCCGTAAAAGCGGCCATTCTTAAGTTATATGATTCAAAAAACTGGAGAGACATTAAACCACGTCCCGTTGTGTACCTGCTAATATTTGACCCTGTTATACGTTTACTAAGTAGAAAATGTCCATAAACTGCACAAATTGGAACAATGTACAGACTGTGTCTTCCATTCCACCGTTGATAATGCTTACATTCTTTTTAAACATCGACATTTTATGGACAAGAGTTGCCTTGTCTTCTTCCTCAGACGAGGATATCATCCACGTAATCGGAGTTTGTCATTTCATTTCGCAAAGTAATGCAAATGATATACAGGTGGAATTTGGGCGAGACGTCCTTTTTTTTTCCTTCTTGGTTAAGTTTCTTAGTTGCCCCCGTGCACACCCATGACGCAGTCTGTCAAAATATAATGTATAGAAATAAAAATCACACCGATCTGAGGGTCTGTTTCGGAATACGATGTCGACCGGAAACAAAATTGCTCAGTTTGCAACCAAAGTAACTACAGGAACTGCCGAAGTGACACGTTACAGTGTTGGGCAGAAGACCACAATCATATTTAAACTCGTAATTATAAATTTATTTATTGATGGTGGCCATGTGAGGAAGATGAGGAAAGTGTCAGTATTGGGAGGAAAACCTGAGATTGATATTCCATTGGAACCCAAGGAATCACATGGGAACCTAAAACCCAGTCAACATGTCAGCTACGACGAAATTTGAAACCGGGTTGCAGGTGGAAGCCCGGCCGGGCGTCACATAAAAAAAGTCTGGACTCGCGATGGCCTTTATGAGCCAACGTAGGTCATTGAAGCCCAGGGTGTGGCCATCTTAGTTCTAACCGTGCCGAATACATATGTAATACATGTCCTACGGCTTCCTCGCCGTTGTTTACCAAATCGTTTGTGCATCGCACACAGGCCAACAATCACCTTCTGTACGCGCCATATCTTGCTTCAAATATATTTTTGGCTTCAGTGGCGTACAAAGTTTGATGAGTTCGTCAGTGTGGTAATTTTGTTTTGCAATTGCAAACATTCTCTTGCGTCTGTTTAGTCCGCAGTAATGACCCTCCGGACTACCATATGAATAGGCCGCCCAATTATCGATTCTTTGGCGTCCGGATTTAGAGACCAGATGGTTTGTTAGTGCGCTTTGTTTGAGGGTTGAATTGACCATTGTGAAAATCGTCCTTCGCTCTATGCCCAAGGCACAAATGCCATTCATCGAAATATTTTGGGGCCAGAGATTTCTTCTTAGTGGACGTGTATACACGCTGTCAACCAACCAATCAACCAACCAACCAACCAACCAAACACTGCTTGTGAAATCATCCCGGATGGAAATTATGCGCCAATTGGCGTATTTGATTCTGAAACTTGCGCATCATCAGTGTTACACGGTCGCTCACATAATTATATTCTTCTCATTGAAACAGTACAATAGGCGCACGCCTAAACAGGTTTTATCATAGAGAAAACATCTCGTTGCCATGTGTTTCCGTGGTAACAGCGAGCTATACCGGAAGTCATTCAAACACAACCATGGAATCGCCATGGAAACTGTCACCCCCATTAAGCACAAAAGAAGTCGTTTAAAAAAATGTGCATTTTTGTCGGTCTTATTTAACCCTAGGATTTAGGAGACAGACCTTTGAAGAAAACAGAAGATTTTCTCTTCTTCTGTGGTCAGTCTTTTGTTCAGGTCTGCCTTCTGTGGCATGTGCCCGTGCTTTGTCTACGGGATGTTTTATAGGAACAATTGGCAACACAGTGCCTTCTCCGTTATGGACAAGTTAAACACCCCTGCCTGTTCCTGCCAATACGTTATTGAGGAGATATTAAATGGGCAAGCTCAATTTCACGCTGTCGGGTTGTAGGGGAGGCTGGACTGGCAAGCTTCGGCCCTCAGTTGGTTTTTGGCATTCCAAAAGTAGCCCGCAGTCACTTTCGTTACGATGGCGATTACCTGGTCAAACAAAATGAGTTTCAAGTTGCTGGGACTTCTGTTGAGTTACGCTTCGAGCGGGGCTTGCCCTGTGGAGGTGGTGAGGAGCATCTTCATTATTTCACCAACAGAAAACCATGCATATTGATGCCTTTAGGCTTCAGTCAAGCCACAGCTCGATGATTAGAGTGAATGGCACTGTAAGTGAAAAGTCATACTAGGTGCAGCGACTTCTTTCTCGTCAAAAAAGGTAAAAAGTTGCCACGAGGTGTCTGGTGAAGTTTGGCCATGATGTCGTCGGTTGAGTCCATAAACGCACGCATCGTTAGGTCGGACTGCAAGTCTGTTTATTCTGCAGCCTGTGCCTTCTCCCTTTGCTGTACATCCTTCCCAGCTAGAAGCTGTATCCACCTGCCTTTATACCACTCTCCCCCTCTTGATCCTTGAGGAAATTTATGCCCGGGTGATTTGAACTGCTGAGTAAATATCCCTCCTCGCAGAAATTAGCGGTAAGCCGCGGTCGGCATACAGCTCAGGCTGCTCACTCGGTAGGCGCGAGAGGGTGTAAAGCTTTTCTTTTTTTTTTTTCCTCGGCTGTTAAGTTGGCTGCCGCGGGTGTTTGTTCCGTTGTCCGGATAAGGCAGACTGACATCTGAATAGACACAGAGTCAGGCTAAAACTGTTGTAACATCCCAGCTTGTATGTTTCAATACACCGAATTCCCTGTACCAATCATGCGATCTTTGTACGGACCAGAGAAGAACATAATTACACATACAGTGTCTTAACCTTTTTTAAGGACTAAGTCAGATCCACAAAAGGTCCCCGCCGGAGAAAATGTATAAACATGTTCTTAACGTAGGCCATTTGGGGTTAAGATTATATGTGACAAGATGAACTTTCAGAAACTTTTAGAGGAACCAACTACAAAACTTCAACTGAAAAGGTTTTCCCATTGCAAAAAATACTACACACGATGTAAACATGGGTGCATCTAGCCGCATTTGTTACGTTATCCCTCAACCACGGGGACTTCAACAGTCCCAATTTTTTTAACAGACTATCAGAGAAGAACAATCATAATTTTGAAATTCAAACTTTCTGTTGATTAGTTGCAAGTCGCAACTACATTAAAAGAGACTGAAACGACAAGGACTGGGTTTTAAAGTGGGAGAAAGTATGGTTCAAGGATGTCAGGTTTGTTTACAAACGGTGGGGCTGTCACTAATATTTGTCGTTATTTTTGGTGGTAAAACACTTAGGTTGGTGACGGCTCGCCAGCTGAGTTTACGGTGTCAATATTGCCCCCGAAATCAATCTACGACGCTTATCTTCTCAAAACACTGCCGTCGGTAGCCGTACAATAAATCCTCCACCTCCTGGCACGTCGAAGAAGACAAGCTGTCACTAAACTGCAACAGAAATTTGAAATATTTACGGCCCTGTTGGTTGCGTGTCGCAATCGTGAATTCATCAGAATCTTCCCCTGACCCTATCTGTTCCACAAGGAGTAGTGCACTCGAGACTCCGGAGATTGGCAGCTGGGCGCATCCCCCCCCCCCATTTAAAGGAGCGCAACCAACACACGTGGAATGTTGATGATTATCAATTGTGGAGGAAACTTACATTTGTCCCTGGCAGAATTTCTCGTGGTTACTTATTTTTCGCTGGTATGCCAACGAAGCGGGATCATGACGTACTGTTTTCTTTTTCTCTAGGCCATTCCCGGCAAAGCAATGCATGGCTCCGCCGTTCAGTCTGTTTCTCCTTTTATCAAAAAGTTCAGATTTTCTTTGCACGGAATCGGAACCTTGCCCTGAGACTTGAATCCAAATGCAGGATGTATGTCCTAGTAAATACACAGAATAATACACATCTACATGTAAAATTCACGTAAATGAGATACTTATACCAAAGATCCCTTGAAATGTGAAGGAAATTTCAATGTAGTAATACTCTTGTTCATGAATATGCATGCATTTGCTATGCGATCAATTTCATCTAATGACCTCCCGCGAGCGTGCTCAATATCGACTTTCTGTTTCCCATTGCTAAGTGTAATTTGTGAACTTGTTATATTTCTGTTATTGGATCTGTAAACATAACCATAATCCAATGGGCTTTTTTTGTTCACTTGCTGCAGGAATCTGTATATTCCTACATACTGAAAGCCTTCATCAGTTTCTCTACGATTGTTCTGCTCGTCCTAATTGTATTATACCACGCCAGAGAGATACAGGTGAGTCATCAACATTTAATGTTGTTATCATCGAACAGGTTTCCGAAAAAGGGCCCCCGTTGGATTTTCCTTTTCCAGGAATAATTCCAAGTGCGCTGTTATGAAGGCGTCAGGTGACGGGCCATTTTAACGTTGTCCCATGAGCGATGATGCCTTTTAATCAGAATTTCAAGAATATGCTTTTGGCACGACACTCCAAGTATGAAGTATTAAGATAAAGTGCCAAATTTAAGTCGGGTGCATGCCTAGCGACAATGGTTCCAAACTGTTAACGCATCTTAGTCTTAGTGTGTAGTGTAGATCAAAAAGCTAGTTATGTTCTGTTTCAAGAAATACACAACTCTCCGGTAATGTGTTACAGGGGATAATCCGCGATATTTATTTCGTTTTTCAAGAGAGCATGAAATACGGGTCGGTTGTTGAATGTCTAACACGGAAAAAAAATCATGTGATATTGGCACTGAGACCATATAATGAAAACTATATTCAGAAATTTTGCAGACCATGACGAAATCATAAAATTTAGTGTAGTGAAACATACTGGAATATGCAGCGCAAAAATACTTTAATTACAGGAAGTTAGCAGCATTATGAGAACAGCCAAAGTCATTTCATTGGGTTTTTGTACTCATTTACGCTGCTTATAATGCTTACAGCGTTTTTTGTTTGTGATATGTAACCCACCCCAGCTTTTTCGATATGTTGTTCGTCGCTGGACTATTTTGGAGGGGAGAGAAAGTACCGTCTATATATATATCACTTCATTTTATTGAAAAAAAAATGCTATGCCTTTTTCATCAATACGATAGACAGTATCGGCTGCGTCGCCTTGATGGGTGTCTTGCAAACACGTGGAAGTAATAAGTGGTCATTAAGGTGTTGGGTTGCAGCTTGTGTGAGAATGTGGCGGGGCTTTCCATCGATTCAAACGGGAAAATGCGTCACGTGAGAAAGGCGTTGTTGAGACACCACGCCGTGCCGGATGACTAACACCTCCTCCAGCTGCTGTTGCATGTGGCTTGAGTGCGGACAAACTTCCGTAAACATTTATCGCCCGAGTAATGTGACATGAAACGTTTCTTTCGCGCAAGATAAAAAATTAGACAACGAAAACAATGGGCAAGGCTCTCTCAGGTGAGTAGATGTCTTTGCTGTGCAATCAATGACTATTGTTTTTAGTTGTGAAAATAAGTTTTTGATTTGCTTTTGAACACGCTTGATGTACAACTTATACATGTATTGTCAATGGGGAACAGCTATAGACATAGTTGATAAAAAGTATATAAGCTAATCACTGAATATCTTTAGGCACAAGTTTCCCACATGCTAAAAAGTCTATATTAAAAAAACAAATACACATTTTATGTTCTCCTTCTCAAGGCTTTCATAACTTCCAACTTGAATAGTGTGCAGTTTATTCTTAATGTAGCAAATTAATTTCACTTTCGCCATTTTTATCAGGTCGCCCTGTTGTTTATTTTTTTCAGTCCCTCTCCTTTACTTGTACCTGGCAGCGCGCCATTTCCAAGTCAGTATTACCGATGAAGAAGTTGAACCGGAGTTGAAGTTTTTTTATTCTGCCCAGGGCGCTTGGGAGGCGCACGGCGACAAGGCCTGCTCTGATCACGCCGAGCCGACGGGACTCGAGAGCTTCTTGTGGGCTGTCACAGGGTGTTATGGGGAACTGAAGTGGCATTGCTCGCGTCTCAGTCCCGGCCGGTTAATAATGGACGTTATTAATATTTTGGTAAAGCCGCTCAGAGTATGATCTGATCAGCGGTGGAGCCATGCACCTGACCTTCTCCTGAACTGCTGATTATTATCATTTTCCGGGGAAAAAATGTCCAAGTTTTGAGAGGGAGAATGGAATGCCTTCCCGGTAACCAATCAAGACTTTTTGAAAGGGCATTCCTTGGTGTTCATTACATACTGAATGCCCATGAAAATCAAAGTCTTCACTCTCGAGTCAGCGCATTAACCACCTGTATCAAATTTCTGCGCAAGGGCCGAAATTGTATTTTGTTCACGACAGATCTGGTATTGGTTGGCCGCCGGATTCTTGCGTTAATTTCCCAAATTCATTAAAGAGTCTGCTAATAGGAATCGTTTACACCTTTAGTAGCCTATCCTTGTAGTTTTCATTGCCTGCAACGTCCAAGCGGTATCATTGACTTTTCTAAAGATATGTCGAGGAAGATCGTTAATGTCACTCATGCAAAAGACATTGATTTCAGAACTCACCCCCCCCCTATTGTTGAGTCTGTTCTTAAAGCCGGTGGAAATGTCAGTCCGCGCTGATGTACCTCGTATACCCGTAAGACACAAGTTGACACTGGGTGTCTGATTCTCATATCTCTCGCGTGTGTTCTCTCGCGAAGCGCTCAAGACGAGGGGAAGATTGCCCCGCGCCCTTCTCTCCGCGAAAAAACAAAACCTAAGTTGCTTGCAGAAGAAACACTGGCTACTCGTCAGAGCCATTTAACGAACTTGTTGAGAAACAAAGCAGATAGTGGGCAATTTGCCCCAATGTTATCACCTATAATAAGAGAGGCCATTAAATGGGACCATTAACCAACAAGTGAACCGCGGAATTTGTCAGTGGCGCGGCATCAGCGTATTCCCCGCGAGGAAGGGGATACCGCGTATATGTACTGATATACTGGAGTTGAAATATTCACGAGATACCCCTATTATTCTGTATACTAGTCTGTCGAATACCCCTGGGCTATTCCGCATATGACCGATGTTTATTTTCGGCAGCATATTCGCTGACAAGGTGCCAAGATCAATTAGTTTTGAATATGGTATTTACGCGGATGTATCCAAGGACGGGTACGTTGAATATCATTGCTACTGTTGTGCTTCCTTGTTGATTTTTCTTTTCTTTAGACGAGGTTACTTTTGTATTATTGCGCAGTGCGAGTTGTACTTGGTAGCATGACGTGTGTGCAGTGATCGATGATACAAAACTCGTTAAAGTATACTCCAGCGATATGGGTCATCCTAATATACGGGTACTGAATTATGCATAGACCTACTGTACATGATAGCTGTGTGATGGTTCAATCTATAAAACATTAGTTTGGTGTCATCAGACTTTTAACAAGCTATTGTCCCTGTCGTCGTTGTCGTGCTGCCCGTCTATTTCTTTTCCTGGCAGTGGCAAAATTCTAACAGTGCCTCTTTTTACCTCTGGAGTATTTGATCTGGCGTCTGGTAATTCAAAAACTGAATTTTGATCACCCGAGAAAACAATGAAAGAAGAATCGTCTATATAATAGTTAAAAAGAAAGCGTTTTGTTTTAGCCTTGTCAGAATTATTTCGAATTGGTAATGTCAATTGCCAATTGTCTGTTATATATTGGTTGCATTTTGTATACATCCGCAGGGCTAATGGGGGCATACCAGACTTGCCTATTTTATTCTTTTCATCCATCCCCATCGTTTGCAAGTTTGCAAAGGCTGGGGGGGGGCACATCATAACGGTCTCTTTGCGTAGAAACTAACAGTGCTTAATTACGAACGGCTATAGCCGTTGACTGACAGGATGAAGGCGCTAACTATACATGGCTGTTTTCGCTTAAATTTTAATATGACAATTAGCACAGGGAGGCGAGCCGTTCATGCATTATTTAGTGCGCCCATCCCTGCCCGTCAGCCTAGGCATCGGACCAGCCCCGCGCTGAGGTTGTTGCGTTGTACATGTTATTGCTGGGCATGCTATTATAATACAATCAGCAAATGTACGACTGTTGCATGTACCAATTTACGGGTTTGATGCAAGCTCTGTTTGGCCGTGCTAATTTATGTACGACATTTAGAGGTACGAGTTGTTACTAGTTGCCAATTAACGACAAATGGCCAAATTTGACGACCATTGACCCATTTAACCCTTTTTATATTGTTTTAATATCCCCCAAGAAAAAATAAAGTAAATCAAAGTAAATAAATATTTCAAAGAAAAGGTTTGAAAAAGAAGTCTCCAAATATGAAGATTTCAAAATATTTTCAAAGCAGTATATTTAAAAGAGATACCCCTTTAAAAATGAGAATATGGTTTATTACCGGCCCGGAACCGCGTCCAGTTAAAATGAAAGAGAACGTTATCAGTGAAATGAAACACAAGTTTCCGTCCTTTTCATGGTTTGTTTATACCATTTTACCACCTGTTCTGGAAGCCACACTGAACGCCCACACAAAATCCCATTTGCGCTACTTAAATGATTTTCAGAAATCTATACAGCATCTTATTTTTGCCAGCGCGTGTGGAAGATGTCTGTTTTGCACTACCAACTTATGTCATCCCTCAACCGCTGCTGTGGTTCCCCGACAGGTTGTAATGACTTCCTGTGGGGTTTTGAAGGGTTGATGGGTTCAAGGTGAAACTGTTACGCCCCAACTATAGCATAAGTCCCAACTATAGCTCGGACAGTCCCAACTGTAGTGCTACAGTTGGGCTGGCCCAACTGTTGTTGACCAATTTCTGTAGAAAATTTTCTCAACCTTTTCAAGTTTATGCATCTTACACACTTGACACAATTCACCTAAAATGTGGCACTTCATCTATGACATGACATTGTAAACAATATGACTTTGGCACATGCTGGCCACATGCACACTGGACCACTGTGCTGTAGTTGGGCCAGCCCAATTATAGCACTCTAGCTGGGATGCTGTAGTTAGGGCGTGACAAATCCACTAACATTAACTGCGTATAGTGTACACCAGCTAGATACAAGAGAGCGTAAATTGACCTCTCTTGAATTGAAAAACAATGTCCACATCTACAGGTGAGAGTTTATTCAAAACGATAACTATAATTATTGACCAATCAGCAACGCAGTGTCCTGTAACGACGGATTTAGTACTGTGTTATCGTTGATTGATAAACCAATGCGTAGTCAGATTATTACTTGTATCATTTTACATTATTTTTAATTGTAACTACTGTATTACAGAGCTAAGCCCACTGAGCAATTGATCAAACATCTCTGTTCATT